GATTACAATGAATTTAAGTATCAATAGCTGGAATAAAGAACTTTATAATTGTCCATAAATATTGTATAAAAATCGATCACATCTTATTTGCTTGTATTTTACCGAGGGACAGCATTCTTAACTGGATACACATGCTTACAGTCTGATACACAGTTTAGAGTAACTAAATTTAGGGGAAAAGTGGAGATGCCATTAAAAAAGACTCCTCTTGGTTCCTGCTTCCATAAATGAGCAGAAATACTTTACTATGATGAAGAAGCATGAAGAATCAGTAGACGTGAAGTTAATCAAAGAGGAATGCAAATTTGTAAGACAAGATAGAAAAGATGATGTCATTCTGGGACTAGGCAGAACTAGAGAACACACACTGCATCATGGAGTGACCTGGAGCTGCAGAGGTGACTGACAGCATCCAACAATAATTATTATTCATTACAATGTAAGATGGACTAATCTCCTGGTTATCTTGGCCACATGTCAATGGCTGACACAGCAATGTCAACAAGGAAGAGGTGAGGCCTGGAGGAGCAGTTGGTAGGCTAAAAGGCAGGGTAACAAGGTGGAATCTATTAATGGTTTTGGGGGGTGGGGTAGGTGAAGGTGTAGGGTTGGACAGTTGATGACTCTAAGAAGTAGCTCAGAGAAACGGATATAAAAATCACCCTAATCAAAGAAACCACGAGAAGGCTGGGATTCCCAAAACATGGGCTTGGTTATCTCTTACACTAGAGGTTCTTTTTTTGCAACTTGAGTATCAAAATCTCTCCAAACTTGAGCCGTGTGCTGGACAATGTTATTGTGAAAGTCTAGATGGCCAGCCAAGGAGTTGTGTTTGCCAAATGGAAAAGGACTAAAGTCGCATTAAAAGATACATTGTATCATACCTAGGATTTAATCTTGGCAATCTTACAATTTCAATTATGTATAATTGTTCCTGTAATGTTCCATTTGCTTTGAAATGGATATAAAGACCAGAACCAACATGCATAATTTCATCACAAGCAGCTCTGCAGTGGCCCCCCTCACTGCACTGTGACCTTGCGGGGATGGGCACTATTCAGGGGTACCGATTTTTTTTGATGTTGTAGGTGATGCTGTGGTGAAGACAGGAGAGAGTTTTCAGACAGAATATTCAAAGATGGAGGGAACATTTCCTTTTTATTTTTTAAAGAATATTTTTAGTTGTAGATGAACACAATACCTTTATTTTATTTTTTTATTTTTATGTGGTACTGAGGATCGAACCCAATGCCTCACATGTGCTAGACAAGTGCTCTACCATTGAGCCATGACCCCGCCACTACTTTGTATTTTAATAATTGATAGATAATCTAGTCATACAAGGTATATAATTCAAATTTTACTTCTTGGAAGCAGTGAAGCTATGACAATAAAGTCAGACTATGACAATGAGAACTTTACCGTCTTTCTTGAGGTGGCATAATGCTGATCAGCACATATGCCCTGGGCAAGACACTCAGAGCTCGGCAGATGATTAGCTTTGCCTGCTTTGCTCTGTGATGAGTCCATGGTGACATCAATGAATTGAGAACTCCAGTTCTCTTGTTTCACAGAAGAACTGAAAGCCCTGGGCAAGAAGTTGCTTTCTTGATTGAGGTTCCCTATTTGCTTGTGATTGATTCTGAATTAAAAACCATTCTACATGAATTACCAAACCATCACTCTCCTTTTACTACACCACAGACTAAGTGCACACACATGCTAAATAAACATGCATACACACATGTACACGCACACACACCCCATTCATAGTGTAGAATCTAAGGTGCACTTGGCTGTTATCTACCAAACAGTGACCAACTGACTTGGTCAGAGAAAGGTGCCCGATTCGGCAGAGTTGGGTGTGTAAATATGTGCTTGTGTGTGTGTGTGTGTGTGTGTGTGCTGTACTGCAGTGTGTGGCAATGCATTGATGAAACTCTAGGGATTCTTCACTGTTTTTTTTTTTTTTAATTTTCTTTATTTTTTTCCACATTTTAAAAAAATTGGTGCATTAGAGTTGTACATAATCATGGGATTTGTTGTTGTAAACTTGTACGTGCACTCTTCACAAAAGTAGCAAACACTTTCCACACTTAGGCTGTGCACTGGACAGTGTTAAAATGTATGGATTTTACTCTTCTAGAGAAAATTCTTCATAATGGCTTAGTTCCTTAAAGTCAATGGCATGTGGCACTTTCTTTTTAAAGTGTGGTCTAGGAGACAGAACTTGGGTCTTATAGTCTGAAATTATATTTCCACACGTACTAAAAGTGTGATGTTGGTTGTACAACTTCCTAAGCCTCTCTGAGTCTCAGTCTCTTCACCTTTAATCCTGAGAGAACAATGGCTGCCAAATTTCTGTCATAAGGTTTTTCTGAAGATCAAATGGGCAAGAAAGAACCTTATAAGGTATAAAGTACATTTAAATGCAAGGTATTACCACTTCCAATATTATTACGCAATCATTCCCCCACCCCCACAGCCATGTGTGGTTTTGCTGTCCACAGTTTTACTCAAGGTCAATCAGGGTCTAAAAACACTAAATGGAAAATTCCAGAAATAAGCAATTCATAAATTTTAAATTGTATCCCATTTTGAGTCGTGATGAAATCTCACGTCATTCTACTGCACCCCACTGGGAATGTGAATCGTCCCTCTGTCCAGCCTCCCCACACTGTATCACCTGCAAGTTAGTCATTTAGGAGCCATCTTGGTTATCGAATTAACTGCTGTGGTCTCATGGTATTATACTGTTCAAGGAACCCCTTTTTTACTTAATAATGGCTCTAAAGTGTAAGAGTAGTGATGAGGTAACTTGATATTTGCCAAATAGAACTTATAAAGTGGTTCCTTTAGGTGAAAAGGTGAAAGTTCTTGAGATAATAAGGAAAGAAAAATTTTTATGCTAAGATCACTAAGCTCTACAGCAAGAATGAATCTTCTATCCATAAAACTGAGAAGAAGGGAAGATAAATTAGCACAGGTTTTGCTTTTATGTCTCTCAAACTGCAAAAGGTTTGGTCATAAAATGTGATGAGTGCTTAGGATGGAAAAGATTACTTGATAGAGCTTGGTACTACCTAAGGTTTCAGACATCTTACTGCGAATATTGGAATGTATTTGCCCCAGTTAAGAAGGGACTACTATACAGGAAAGATCATGTAGGTGTAATACTTAGGTACATTGGCTCTTAGCCAAAGTGTGAAATAGGCTGGGTGGTCATAGCCCACTTTAACCTATCCCTCTTCCTAATGTCCCAGGACTTCCAGCTCCTCAGATGGAACAGCTGCATGGCAGGTGACAGAGGAAGCATTTCTGGATCCCACCCAGTGACAGCCTGAGGTTAGGCTGCCTGCCCAAGAGGGTTACTCTAGCCTCACCTGTGAGAGGTAAGCTCACTGTGGCTGTACCTTCCTCTCCTCCACAAGATGGGTGGGCAACAGGAACTCAACTAGGATAGAGGAAACAGTGAGAGACATGGGACAGTGGAAAAGAAAGAGAAGTTACTTGAGAATATATTTTCATCTACCCAGAGACAGGAGGGGGGTGAAGGGCACACTGGATTCACATCTCCTGAGAGGAGCGCAGTGCAGAGAATGCCTACCAGGAGCATTAGCCTTTATTTGTGACACTTCCAGAAAATGCAACCAAACGGGTTTTGGCTTAGAATTCTTTCTGACAGCTTCCAGTCCATTAAAAATACAGTAAATGTCAGTGAGAATTTGCCACGGCACATTGTTTTGCCAAGAGGAAAATTTGTTAAATCAGGACATAAACTTTCTTCAAAAAATAATTTCAGTGATTTATTTTCCATTTATTGCTATATAGAACACCACACACACACACACACACACACAACATACAGTTCTTCTTCTTTTAGTTTTTTTATCTTGCTGAGAAAGTCTTATCTGGAAAAGTCAATATGAATCTCTATTTTATTCTTACTATAAATCAAAGAAATAATGTCACAACATCAAACTGAAGCCACTGTCTTAGACTGGCTACTTTTTATTTTGATTTTTTTTGACCAAATAGTGCTAGATCAGGATATTATCTAAATTTTTAATATAAAGAGAGAAGTGAATGGAGAGAAGAAAACTGGGATTTGTTGGCTTGTACCATCCCATGGTTGGCATCACATTTAATTTCATTCCATTCTTAGAATAATCCTGTAGGCATATTTCCATTTGCATTTTACAGACCAGTTCAGAAAAAGCAGCAAATTCTGCTAAGACCACAAAGCTTACAGGGACAGAAATGGGATTCTATCTCAGAAGATGCTTTTCTCACTAGGTAGTGGAGAAAAGGGAGGAGGAAGTATAAAAAACCTGTTTGTTATTTGCCAGAGGAAGAGGAGTGGGTGGGAGAAAAGATGAAATAAAATTAACCTCAGGTTGATAACTGTTGGGTGACTGGTTTCATTATGCGCTTTGCCTGTTTTGGTAGGTTTAACCATTTCCGAATCAAAGATCAAAGAAAACAGCTGCTTTATACACCTTGACAATGTAGAAAACATTACATACAAATAATCTTTGGTTGCCTATTGAGAAAATGGTAGTTTTACAAAAAGGAGAAAGAAAAAATCTTTGATTCCTTTTGAGGTTTATTAAAGTGTAACCGGGTAGTGACTGGACATGACAGACAGCTTAACTGTTGCTCCTCAGTGACTGGACATAACAGACAGCTTAACTGTTGCTCCTTACTCCTCAGGGGGTACCTTAGCCAATGCTCCTTCAGAGATTAATTATTCCCTGTATCATTCTGCTAACAAGACTGTAGATTATACTGTGGGACGTTGGAGATGTTCCTCATGTTGCTTCTGCCCTATTTGTAAGTCTTTCTAACGTTATCCAGAACTACAAGACAGTGAATCTCACAGATGGAGGAACGAATATTTTACTACAGAAAAGTATTGCTTTGCTTAACTTAAAAGGTTAACTTTAATTAAGACAGCGATAAAAGCTTTTAAAGAAAGAGTGACAAATATGTAAAATTACCTCCATTGCTACGGGCCATTGTCAGAGCTTCCAAAGAAGTTGCTGGAGTTATTTCTAGCTGGCAGATCATGACTTTGGCTTGGCTAATGACACTGGCTGCTTCCTTCAGGTCTTCAGTATTCAGAAGTAAATTTGCTCCTGCCACTATGACGATGATATTCTGGCCTATAAAGAAATCCTACATATTTATATTAAAACCAAGCAAAGCCAAGCAATGATATTCTGCAATGTTACAATCATCTTTATAAAGTTATTATACAAAATGTATTGTAAGTATTAATTTTGACATTTTCAGGACATTCAGGTTAAATTTTGTGTTTCAAATGTATCTTTTAGAATGTCTCTTGAGACTCGTATTATTCAGATTACTTTTTTTAGGAGATACAGTTTTGCTATGTTTTCYAGATTGGCCTTGAACTCCTGGGCTTAAGCCATCCTCCCCCCTTGGCCTCCTGAATAGCAGGGACTACAGGTGTGTGCTACCAGGCCTGGCTTATTCTGATTACTTTGAGCAAATTTTTTTTTTTTTTTTTTTAAAGAGAGAGTGAGAGAGGAGAGAGAGAGAGAGAGAGAGAGAGAATTTTTTAATATTTATTCTTTAGTTCTCGGGGGACACAACATCTTTGTTGGTATGTGGTGCTGAGGATCGAACCCGGGCCGCACGCATGCCAGGCGAGCGCGCTACCGCTTGAGCCACATCCCCAGCCCCTTGAGCAAAATTTTTAAAAGGTTTCCCTTATTAATATTCCTATGTATAAAGAATGCTAGTTAATGAATTTTATAAAACATACTTAAAAATTTACTTAATGGGAAATGCTAATAAATGTATATGACAAAGATTCTGAATTATAAATGACAGATGCCATATAGATGAGTGTAAATAGGAATAAACTTGTATAAGCTCAAAACTAATGCTCTATTGTACGAAAAAATAGTTGATGTATGAACCCAATGGTATTCTAAGAAGTCATTGTGACAATCCAAACACATTTTATTCTATCTAGCAGACAGAAAATTATACCAGATAAAAGACTATCTAGCCTATGCTATACCAGAACAAACTGAGGCGACAGGACCAAGGAATTGATACATTCCCATCACCTGGGCTCACTCTATAATCCCCCAACATGGTGGAGGGGCGGTGGTGCATTTCTCTCAGGTGAACTCTTAAGAGCTGTGTTCTCCAACACAGTAATTACAGTAGCACATGTGGCCATTAAACACTTGGAATGTGGCTAGTCTCAATTGAAACTGTGCTTTAAGTATAAAATACACACAGTGGATTTCAGACAGTACTGAGAAAAGGAGGTAAAAATCTCAACTTTTAAAACATTAAAAAGGTTTTAAATTTCAAATGAAACTTTTGAATACATTTTGAAATGGTAATATTTTGGAGTTAGTGGCTAAGTAAACTGTCAAAACAAAGTTTACCTGTTTTGTTTTACTTTTTAAAATGTGGTTCCTGGACAATTTAAAATCCCCCCTGTGGCCTGCATCTTCTTTCTGTTGGACGGCACTGATCTAGGGGAATGAGTTGCAGCAGGCATTTTTTTGTGCTCCAGGCTGCTCGTGATGATCTTGTATAGACATGACCTAAAATTACCTCTCAGCACAGAACAAATTCTAGCCTATCATCGTACCACAGATGTGTTTGTTGGCCAGGAGGAGGAGGACTTAATAAAGTGGGGATGGTTTAGCACAAACCCAACCTTGGTCCTGGAAAAAATTCAAAATACCCACTTGCTGAAAGACAGCATCTCTGCTTCCTGCACTGGCCTAATTCTCTCTGTTGGAGGCAACTGTAGCCTCTGTGTTCTGACCTCCAAATCTGCATTTCTGGACTGGCCTTAACTACTGAGCAACAAGCTCAAGACTACAGCTGTCTATTTTGTGGCTCACTTCTTCATCCCTCAAGTTGAACTTTCAAAATGCAACTCAGGATTTTATCTTGTGTACTCGTGTACTCAATCTCTCGACGAAAGGAACCAAGTGTCCCATTTCTGCATTTGTCCTAGGTCTTCTGCCATCCCTACTCTTAAAGGCACTGCCACCCTAAGAACCAGGCAAAGACTACCATAATAGGCACTGATACATAATGTGAAATTATACCTCTGCATGGAAAATGCAGGTTTTGTTTCACAGGTAAAGAAAAGAAAACTTGAAGCTATCCCTGGAACAAAATAAAAGGTTTAAGACAAGGAATGAGCTGATGTTGGCAGCAATAATTACTTAAGAGGTAGCTTAAAGTAATGAACACAGACTTTCTATTGTTTGAGTGAAAACTTTGATCTACTGTCTTTAAATGGAATTTTAAAAATTATTGAAGCTTTAGGGATCACTTGAGTTAAAAATCCCACACCTTCTATGCAAAGTGATATTGTAAAACTGCGTCACACTAGTCCCCTTTTCTCTGTGGTTTTACTTTGCATGGTTTCAGTTACTGTGGTCAAATATGGTCCAAATATATTAAATACTAAATTCCAGAAATAAACAATTCATAGGTTTTATTTTATTTTATTTTTTTAAAAATTTTTATTGTTGGTTGTTCAAAACATTACATAGTTCTTGACATATCATATTTCACACTTCGATTCAAGTGGGATAAAAAAAATTCATAGGTTTTAAATTGCATGTTATTCTGAGTAGCATAATGAAACCCCATTTCACTGAGCTCCAGCCCATCTGGGATGTGGATCATCCCTTTGTCCAGTATCTTGTCCATACATACTACCCACCAGGGTAGCGTTTGATTTTCCTATCAATTGTTGAGACCTTGCAGTGGTCAAATAACCTTTACACAGTAGCCCAAAGCTACGATGCCTACGTCATTCATCTCACTTTGTCTTATCACRCAGGCACTGTGTCATCCACATCATCACCCAAGGGGTGAGTATAGCACATAAGATTTTGAAATAGAGAGACTACATTCATATCAATTTTATCATAGAAAATTGTTGTAAAATTTCTGTTATTATTAGTTATTCTTGTTCATCTCTTGCTGGTCCTAATTTATAAAATAAACTTGATCATTGGCATATATGTATAAGAAAAAAAAACATGGTCTATATCGGGCTCAGTACTACCCACAGTTTCAGGAATCCACTGGGTGTCTTGAAATGTATTCCCCCACAGATAAAGGGGGTGCTGTGCAAACAAAAGAAATATCTTGATAAATCCTAATCTAACACAAAACACACTGACTGCCTATAATGTCTAACTAGGTCTGTCCTAGGTGCCCATGAAATGCTTGGTCTTTAAAAAAAATCTGTGTAGGTGTTTTTATACTTAAAACAGTTGGCAGAAATTATGAAAACCTAACTTGAAGGCAATCACTTTTTTTTTGGTAGTCACTGTTTTTAAAGATTAATGTTTTAATTGTGGTAAAGCCTCGAGGTGCACTTAGTTGTATAGACTTTTGAAATTTGATTGCTGTTTAAAGAGCAGACAAAATTGAACACTAACGATAAGTTAGAAGTGATTAGTTGCTGCCATTTACTCAGTGAAGATTCTATAAATATGATCCAGCAAACTTTCTTTTGCACCTATTTACATTTACTTACCGAGTGTAATGGAAATAACAGATGAATACTTGACTGCTTTTAGAGACAAATGTCAATTCTGAGTTCACATGAAGGATGATGGGAACATAACGGAATACAAATATTTGGGGGAATTATAATGCTTCGTATGTGTCAGATGAGTAATGACATATTTAAGCAATCAATATGGGGAGTATAAAAAAGGAAAACATATTTGGATTGGAAAATTCACATTTGGCCGTGAAATGGTGGGTGGGTAAGAGGTCCATAGGACTGGAAGCAGTGGGTGCTTCCAATCTAGCTCTGGAGATGAACTATCCGTTTTAGGAAATGACGCTCTAATATGCGAAACACATACCTTCATCATTGACAATTATAGAAGCAGCTCCTGTAGCAGCATCTTTAGTCTGATATGTAAATTCTACAAGAAAAGAAAAAGAAAATTACAATCACGTACATACAGCCTGGCATGGATAACTTATTTTAACAATTTCAATGCAACACTAATCCTCAAAAAAAACTTTTTAACCTTTAACCATCTGGAATGAGTTAAAAAATAAGTAATTAGTGCTAATTTATACCCATCACCTATACAATGAGGAAAATAGACATCTTTACATTTAGCAGCACCTTTTCTGTGCATTAATAACAACCTATCAAACCAGCCCCACTTCCAGTTCCCCAAATTATTCATAATTGTATACATATGCATTTTTCTAGATCAACACATTTCTTTTCTTCACYGAAAAAACGAGAGACTTGAGATAAAAAACCAAAAGGTCGAACATATAAAATGAACTTTTTTATTTTCTTCATTCTCATAAGCTTTCATCTGGTCAAGAATTGTGGTCTGGCATGTAAACATAAATGTTGATCAGGGAGCCTCTGGCAGTAGGAAAGAGCTCAGAACTGGAAACAGAAGACCTCCATTCTAGATCTGGCTCTAGTTCCAACTTGCTGCATGCTCTTGAAAAGCCAGAGAACCTCTCTGACCTTCCATTTTCCCTTCTGTGATCATGGGTTCAGCCTTGATGATATCTGTGATCGGTTTCAGCTTTAACAATAACACTTTTCTTAAAATATCTTTTGTGAACTTATCACTTGGTTTTCCTTGTCATTTGTCCATGAGATGAAGGTTCATAACCTCCTCTCACCTGATTTCTATCTGGAGGAATGTACGTTAAAGAACCAGGAGACATTTAAATAAGACCAGACAAAGCTGTACATACAAATTCCATGGCCACCAAAGGAGGATGTAATAATTCTATTCCATGTTCAATTTTATTGAAACAAGATCACAGAAGAAACTTATAAACATTCACTTTTAAAAAAGATGAAAATTTACCTGTAGAAATACCATTCTGTTTAAAGTTTTCTATATAATCATTGCCAAAAGAATCCTTGCCAACCTGTGCCAAAGAAATGGTGAACGTTAGATCTTTTACATTTAGTAAAATGCTATAGTGTAGTTTTTAGAACACTTAGCATTTTAAAAGGGCATATCTGCACAGTACTTTATAAACATTAACTAATTAATCTTCTTAATTTAAGATGGGAGACTTGATTTCAGCCCAAAGAATTGTTATATACTGTATTAATGTTTCACTTATATCCCACCTAAAATGTGACATATTTAAAGTGAATCACAAGTTCTAGAGCTTCCTTCTCCTTTTGATCTGTTCATCTGACAATTCCCATTGAGACAGAGCCATCCTCCATCATCAATCTTCAATATTTATGAGAGTTCACTATAAATGAGGGCATCTTTGAAATGACTTGCCTGATATTCTAGAATCTCTCTATCTTTTCTCTGACCTTGACATGGGAGACAAAGAGAAGGGAATTTTAATAGCTCTTGCTAAACTGGGTAACTTGGTATAGTGGAATACTATTGTTTCTACATGCTACTTACCATCTCTCTATTAATGGCCCTTTGATTTTTTTCTTTACACCTCTATTTCTTTTTCATTCATAGACAATCTAAGAAGGTTGTCCAAGGGTCCCAGGCCTGATTAAAAAAGTAAGTATTACYACTCTGAGTGGGTGTATGACCCAAATTAGTTCACTAAGAGTCAATCCTGGGGATTTTATGGAGACCTCGAGGGAAGACAAGTCTTCCTCCAGTGGGAATGCTTACTATGAGATACCGTAATCCTGGAGCCCCTGGAGCACCATGTGCAGCCAGCCTACATGGAAACAGACACATAGCAGACAGGGGAAGGGTGAAGACACGGGAAGATACAAACTCCTAATAGACTAATGGGTGCCTAAGCTGCCCTAAGCCAGCTCTGCCACGGGGCATTTCAGTTATAGAAGCCATTTCACTCCTTTATAGTTTTTTTTCTTAAGTTATTTTGAATTGGTTGTTTATTGTATCGTCCAAAAAGTCCTGACTAGTCTAGAGGGCTAGTCCACTTGCTCTGACCCTGAACCATAACTCGAGTGGTTGTGCTTCTGTCGGGATCGTCAGACCAACCTACTGCTTTGTGGCCCACTTTGGTCACTGGGTCTCTCTGTCAGAATGAGTGTGAATCCTAATCATCTGGTTAGTTCCKTAGCTCATCTGCCTAGTCAACCATCCCCAGAGGCCAGGCCTTTAGGTCTAGGCTCAAGCCCAGAAGACACTGCAAGGCCTGTGACATCAGCTACTTCCCATTCACATTTCTATTGCCAGTTCTGGCTTCCTGGTGCTGTGATGGCTGCACCATCAAGATGCTCTGGCATCCTCTGTCATGCCACTCTGATATACAGCCATTTGTCTGACTGCCACYTTGGCTGGATCTTGGCCTGACTTCTAAGTTGAGTCCATAGCAGAATTATAAACTGGTGGGTGAGAGTTGAATCTGACACTTAGATGCATCTTGTTGGTCCTACTATTTTTTAAGATATACTTTATTTTTAAAGGTGATTTTAGGTTATTAGCAAAAGTAAGTGTTAAGTACAGAAAGTTCCCATGTACCTGCTGTCCCTCCCATCGCCCGGTCCTGCATCCCTTGTCATCAACATTCTGCACCAGAGTGGCATCTTTGTTAAAACTGATGAACCTACACCAAAACATCATGATCTCTCAAACTCCACAGTTTACATGGGGTTCATTTTTTGTGTTATACACACTCTTTGAGTATCCTGTAGATTTGGATGAGGGTATAATGACAGATACCCACCATTACAGTATCATAAAGGATAGGGTAAGTATCATTCCCCTAAAAGTCCTCTGGTCTCTGTCTATTCATCCCTCCCTCTCTCAGCCCCTGGCAACCAGTGATCTTTTCACTGTCTCTGGAGTTTTGACTTTTCCAAAATGTCATATTGTCAGAATCACACAGTGCCTTTTCAGACAGGCTTCTTTCATTTAGTAATATGCATCTGAGGTCCCTCTGTATCTTTATGTGGCTTATGCACATTCCTTTTTAGAGCTAAATAATATTCAGTTGTCTGGATGGACCACATTTTATTCCTCCTTTACCTGCTGAAGGATATCTTGTTAGAGTCCAGGTTTTGGCAAATATGAATAAAGCTGCTGCAAACTTCCACGTGTAGGTTGTGTGTGATTGCCTTGCTATTTAAAAAAAATTTTTTTAAACCTGGTGATGGGGATTGAACTCAGGGCTTGTGTATGCTAAGCACATGCCCCATCACTGAGCCCCTCAGTCCCTTATTTTAAATTTAATCAGCAATCATATTTACATATTAAGAGATTACCCAAAACAGATTTCCAGGAGGTCCTGAAAATCCAGAGATTCTGGTGACACTGGGATCACACTCCTACAAGGCAGGAACTAAGAGGTGATGGCCCCMAAAGTAGGCACAAGTTCTCAAGTTCATTCAGCCCTACTTGGCCTACACAGCTCCTGTTACCTGCCTGGTTCCCCAGGCCCTAGGCTTGCCACCTCTTCACGGTACTTCTAGTTTTCTGTTCTGCAGGCAGCACTAAGATTTCCTGGTGAATATGTTCCTTCACAGAAAACTGTTTCATTTTGGAGCTATCAAGAAACATGGGGATTTACTTAGGTTAAGATCCTAGGGAGTCAGATATTGTGGTGCACACCTATAATCCCAGCCACTAGGGAGGCTGAGACAGAAGGATCGTAAGTTCAAATTCAGCTTTAGCACAAGCAAGGCACTAAGCAACTCAGTGAGATCCTGTCTCTAAATAAAATACAAAATAGGGCTGGGGGTGTGGCTCAATTGTTGAGTGCCCCTGAGTCCAATCCCTGGTACCACCTCCCCCCAACCCCTCCCCCCACACCAAGAAAAAGATCCAGGGAATGTGGATAAAATGGTCTGAGCAAACTTTGGGATCAGCTAGAGCAGGGGGTTGGAAACTCCTTTAATGAAGGGCCAGGCAGTATATATTCCAGGTATTATGGGCCACATGATTTCTTTTGTAAGTATTCAACTCTCTGTTATAGTGTGAAAGTAGCCAAAAGACAATCAGAGAAAAATGGGTGTGGCTGTGTTCTAATCAAGCTTTCTTTACAAAACTAGGCAGGTAGGTAGGATTTGCTCTGTGGGCTACAGTTTCTTGATTCCTGACTTTTTTTTTTTTTTTTTTGCAGGGTACTGGGGATTGAACTCAGGGATGCTCGGCCACAGAGCCAAATCCCTAGCCTTATTTTATATTTTATTTAGAGACAAAGTCTTGTTGCTAGGTGCCTTGCTAAGTTGCTGAGGCTGGTTCTAAACATGCAATCCTCCTGCCTCAGCCTCCTGAGTCACTGGGATTACAGGCGTGTGCCACCGTGCTCGTCTGATTCCTGACTTAACTGGCATATCTGATACCTTCTTCCTTAAAGAACACTCTTCCTTTTGATCTTTTTCTGGCCTAAATGCTGATTAGGCAACAATCTCAAACAATGTATACTAACTTCTTACCAGCAGAATTCAATATGTACAGGGAAGTACAACCCATATAGCAAGCAGTGTCGTGGGGAGGGTTTCCTGTTGGAAGGAGCTCATCTATCAGTGGTTTCCCTGATGGAGGCCAGTTATTTATTTGCTAGGTGAATGCAAAGGCATCTSGTTCAACAGGTTAAAGATTCATGCCAGAAACTAAATCTTTGTTCTCTCATCTTACTTTATATAATAACTCTCTCCCGTGGGCAATCAAGGTGTCACACAGCTGGGAAAAATGTCCCTATAAAAACATGGCAGGGATTAGGAAAAGGCCATTCCTAGGCATGAAGAGCTTGATAGAAATTAGAGCAATGAAACTTTTCTTCTCCTTTTTAACAGTTTTATGCAAGCAAACTCTATTAAAGGTGAACAAGGGCAGCCCTAGCAAGTGGAGGTGATGATACAGACATTACAGAGTAGGGGATTAGGAAGAATGTTTCAGGGCAGAAGGAAACCATAGAGCCTGCAGCTTTGCCGTCAAGAAACTGAACATCAAGGAATAAGAAATACAGAGGCACTGTACAGGTGGCATAGCATGTGCATCAGAGGCATAATTAGGAAGAGATTTCATGCTCAGAGTGCACTTTGGAGGCTTGCTGTAACTGAATCTTACTTAGAGGCTGCCATCTCTGTCTTCTTCCTGCTCAGGGAATGACTTGATTTCTATATCCCTTGGTGATGGTTATTATTTCTGATTTATTCCAACATGAATTCCCTGACAAATCTGTTTGGCTGGTCTAGTTTTAAACTCTTAAGTGAAACAAAATATTTTGCTTTTGAGGCTTAGTGGTAGAGCTCTTGCCTAGCATGTCTGAGAAACTGGGTTCGATTCTCAGCACTGTGTATAAATAAATAAAAATGAATAAAATTAAAGTCCATCAACATCTAAGAAAATATTTAAAATTTTTTTTTGCTTTTGTTTCTTCGATATTCCATTGTTAAAAACAGAAATCAGATAACTAAAAACATAGTGGAAAAGTAATGACACTGCTAAGGATTAAGAGAAGTCAACCCTAGTGCCATTAATTTTGCATCTAGTCATGGTGACCCTTTATAAAATAAAACGAGGAATAAAAAGCCTAAAAATAGGAAGGTGATTTTTTCATTTGTGTTATGAAAACCAGAATCCTTTTCCTGCTAGCTGTGTGATTTGGGGCAAGCCAATTTAATTCTCTCTAGACCTCAGTTTCCTTATCTAAAAATCACAATTTTGCTGTGAGGAGACAAGAAAAAAACTATATGAAAACATACTTAGAATTGTAAGGGATTAGGGAAGGCTTCTGTGCTACCATCCTCCTCTTCCTCCTGAGGGCAGTGAAGCTGAGGCTGCTTCTCTGGGGGTTGGGGGAAGGGGACAGGACTACTGTTGCTTGATTTTCCTCCACTCCCAGTGCTGGGGATTGAACCCAGCACTTCATACATACTTGGCAAGTGCTCTACAAACAAGAATTCCACCAACCCTGAATTCTAACTTAAAAACCACTTTCCCATCCATCTGGTTCCAATTCTTCCA